GCAAAATGAGATGTTGCTTGCAACAGTGAAAAAATCTTGATCTGTCATTGCCTAGAGGGGATGGTATGAACGAACAGACTGTGGGTCATTAACCTTGGTCCTCACTAGTGCATAAGCACAATCAAAAGCATGAGTGTATGTCCTCACTGGGAAATTCAGCAACATTAGCATAAGCACAAGCATAATAGGAAGAACAGAAGGTTTTGATCCTTATGCTTATGTCGCTACTAAGTGAAAACCAGGCTTCACTGACAGTGCTTCCCAATCAAATGTAATAAACCATTCAATGGACAATATTGACATCAATCAATATGTCCATTGTCCATTGAATGACATGCACCAAAAAATGCTTCCTCACAACAAGGATTTCATGTGCTATTGAATAGCACTGTATTTTATACACAAAAAAGGAGTAGAGATTGGTATACATTGTTGTGTTATTGCCATCATGCTTTTTTGCCAAAAGAGGCAATAAGTGCCATGGTTTTCCAGCTCTGAATATTACTGTGCTATGTGCTGTACCGTAAACACTTTACAAGTTTGCAATTTCTTTTTAAAAATTTTGGACAAGTTTTCATTGCGCTCTTTATCGCTAACYAATTAGACATTGTTGCTTCACATTGATGCTTCAATAGACGAAGTTTGTACATTGATGTAACGATATAGAAACATCAAAGTGAAGCGCCAAAACATAATTGGTTAGCTGTGAAGGGCATGAATTAAATTTGTCAAAAACTTGTCAAAAAGAAATAAAAACTTGTAGAAGTGTTCACAGTATGGCATGTGACAGTAAATTTGCAATCCTAACCTCTTCTTGTTCCTTTCTTTGTTTCTCTCGTTCTTCAGCCTCATGACTACTCATTGGTATACTGTGCTCCATGGCAACCTCAGCACCAATCCTAGCTGCTATTTTTGCAGCTTCTGACATGGGGTTCTCTAATCCTTTTAATGCAGAGCTTGATGGTGGTGTTGAAACCTGTGAYGCAGAATCATCCCATCTACTTTTCCTCTTTCTTTTTGCTGCAGTTGGATTTGATTCACTGTTTTGGCCAGGCAATGACTGTRTAAATGATCCACTGTAGGAATATTACAAGCAGTTAAATAAGTACAATGATTCAATCCAAAACACAAACTATGGGGTCAAATCATGTGGTACCTTATATTTCAAAGCACACTGTACATAACTTCGTTGTGAAATTAGGATTACAGTCAACTCTCACCTCGTAGACACCCCCAATACCTTACTATTACAGACAGGAGCAAAATCCCTGGTGAAAAATACTGACAAAGAAATAGCTGTAATCAACTCTCACTATTAGAGATGTTCAAAATTACAGACAACAAGTGACTGTTCCAAAAGGTGTCTGCTGTAACTAGAGTTGACTCTTATGAATAGGCCATGCTACATACAAGATATTTTTTTAAAATCCTATCACAATACCGAGGCCCTCCTGAATTTTACAGTATGAATTGAAAAACCACGGGCACCTAGAAATATGTCAAGAATGTTTCTTAACCAATCAGAAGCGTTAGTTTTATCTTCCTGTTATCTTGTGGTTAGAAAGTCAATAGTGATTGCCTTGTTTGAATATTTCCAAGTGCCCAAGGTTTTTTGATATCGAATATAAGATATAAAACTTCACCTACTATTGGTACATCATCTAGAGCTTACTGTACCTTGAGTTAAAGTTACTGCTACTTGCTCCTGTGCTGGTTGAAGCTGATAAATACTGGCTTGATAACTTTACTTCTGGTGGGGAAACTTAATTATAGATCCATGAGTGGCATAGCTTACACAACACAGTACCACATATAGTACAGTACCTTAGACCAATTCCTGATGAAGTGTAATGCAATACCACAACAATGCTTAACCGTTAATATAGTTTATTAAAAATAAAAGTCATAATAGAGCTTTTAAAGGCCCAGCTTAGACTGTGATGTTTATTATGCTATTTTAGTTTGATCCTCGCAAGATCCATGGTCCCCTCAAACATGAGTGGGCTGCTTTTTAAGCCAAAGCTTCATCTTTGTTCCTTTCATACATCAAAAACTGAAGAATAAAGACGAATTACTTGCAATGACTCTGGTAGTCAAGGCTTTGACTTAAAAAATAAAAAAAGAGCAAAAGACTTTTCTTGCTAATGAACGAGTACTAGGAATTAACTTAAACGAAATAAAAGAATACTTCATTTTAAAGTTCTGTTCAGTGACCACGAATAATAGTTCCAAGCTGAGGTTGGAGTTGCCACACATGATAAAAAGCATATTTTTGCTATGCATGGAAACTCCAGGCTCGACTTGGGACTTATATTCCTGGTCACTGAACAGAACTGTAAAATGGAGTATTCTCAAAGGCAGATGCAGATGGATTGTAAATCTCTAAGCACTTTGATAAGCATCACAAAACTGGCTGCTAATCACAGTTAAAACTGGGCCTTAAGTGTGATGTCAATCCCTTAGAAACACAAGTACTTCCAAGTCCAAAACAGAAAAGCACTTCTATAAGGATTTTTCTTACTGTTTCTTCAGGGCAGAAGTAGTTGCATGACCAAAGTTCTAATCATTTCAGGTGGAGGTTAAATTATCAAGAACATTTTCCACATTATTTTAGCAGTTTTTGTGATTAGTTGGACCTGAAATACATCACAAGCTCTATAATTTGTGACTCACAAGTAGAACAGTTATAGGGAAAAACATCATATGTGTGACCACTTTTGAAGCACTTGCCATACTTTTACGTTTTTTTTTTGTAAAACAAATATATTTGTAATTTTCCAAATCTATATCTGTAAGCAATGAATGCTGAATGATTTTCAAAAGTATTCACAAGATATCATAGAGATAATAAAACTGATCTCACATTTTGGACTGCACATAACAGAATGAACGTATCAGCAGATGAAAAATAATGCTCAGTTGTGTAGGGTTTTTTTTGTTTTTTTTAAGGGATTTGAAGCAAGTCCACTTCAGCAATTCACTTATGCTCCCAAAGACCTATCATCGCTTAAAAAGTTAATGCCATAATAGATGTACTCTTGAGCCCTATTTGGACTCTTTATTCAATAAGTATTAAACAATTGAATTCCAGGCATTTCGGTATCTGTGGAAGGTCTTATGGAATGCTTTTTTGATGTCAAAATCTTATGCTTCTGGCCATCAAACCAGGTTTTTTCTTGCTAAGAACCACATGTACAACTAGAATACCTCGTAAGGAAAAGTATTGTAGTGGGCTGCCTACGCGTTCGTTTTAGGAATAAACAATCGAGTACCTTGGGGTTAGGTTTAGGGTTAGGATTGGGGAAGGCTTTGGCAGGGTATTCTATAGTTACTCCAAACCACAATTAAAAATATGTATTAAAAATATTATGACCATGACAAGTTGCTTAAAAAGATGCTAAATTAAAAGTAAAAGTCTTACAATGCCAACAACATGCATAAATTAAGTCAACCAACCAAAACTTTAGAGGTTAGTACCTCATGTAAGACTACATGAAATGGCACTATTGGATTATTTATTATTGATTATGACATCCTGAAACCCTTATCCATACCCTAACCATAACCCCAAAAAAGCCTAACCTTAAAACTTATTACTGAATAGTGCCATTTTATTTAGTCTTACATGAAATAGTAAGGTCTTTAGTTCTGAAGTGTAAAACGTTCTGATGAAAAAGTGATAAAATAGATTTTCGAAGTATAGTAGAACTGAATTTACCATTTTGAGTGTCGTCGTCTTCTCGCTCGAAAACGTCATTTCGTTTCAATAGAGGTCTCGTAACTGAGCTCTTTTTCATTGTAGATATTTTCATGGTAACAGAAGGTTTTGGTAGAGCAGTGGTTGTGTTTGGAGAAGAAGCAGCTTTAGACTTTTGCATTGCTTGAAAACGTGCCAWAAAGGAGCCATCGTTGACGAACAAGGAAGGAGGTRCGTTYGTTGTTGGTGTGTTTGAATYATAAGCGTTCGTTGAAGGRCATGGAGGATTGCTTCCTGTTGAGKTTTTCTTTTTTTCCTCTATTCGTCGAAGTAATTCTCGTTTTTTATCTTCAATTGTTKGTTGGTTGGAACTCCATCCTCCTCCAGACGCCATCTTGGTTTGTGTGATGGACCATCATGCAACAGTGAATAACACAGGGAACCCAGGGGTTCSATTTGATCTTTGAGAGATATGGTGGGAAACAGTCGCGGGAAATATACAAAAAAATTGAAATTATGTTAATAAATAAGGTGGCTTATAAGGGATATACCGTAAATCCTCTATTTAGCCCCCCAGGGGCTTATTTATTTCAGGCACGTTTGAGGGAGGGCTTATTGGAGAGGGGGCTTAATTGAGAGGGGGGGCTAAATAGAGGATTTACAAGAATTCCCGATTCCAAGAATCCCTATAGATGACAATGTTTATTGAAATTGGTGTCGGAGAACATATAGRAAACAATCTTTGAAGGGGTGACCTGTAAGGTACTGCTGGGAAGAGGTAGAGGATCCTCTCATTTGCACCTGAGACTCAGCACTCTATCAACTTGGACTTCTTCAAAGACAGTTTTCCAAAGCTGGCCATTTGAGGGGGTTTCCGCTAAAGAGTGTCAGATTTTTGGGGCTGGGGGTATTCCAGGCGTTTTAACTGTTTTGGCGATTACTTCTAGGATGTCTTGTTGTTTCGCAGATGAGTGATGTTCACTGTGTTGGAGTGGACCATCTTGCAAGTCACATGTCATTTTCTGTGTAGCCTGCGTAGCTAGGCATTCCTTGTTGGTTTTGGGGAGGCTTGGGGAGGAGAGAAGGGAAGAGAGGAAATGCCTGCCAGCAGCCCTTATGATTTTGAAAAACCTGTTCCCTCTCTCCTCTTCTCTCCTCCCCAAGCCTCCCCAAAACCCACAAGGAACACCTGGCTATGCATGCTAGTTCTGTGGGTTTAGTTCAGCTGTGAATGGATTAGTTGAGAATAACTGCCTTGACATCAATGTCCTTCTCCCCTTCCCCTTCCTTAGTCCACTTCACCTTCCCCTTCCATTTTCCAGTCCTTCTCTCCACTCTAGTGCTGCTACTCAGGCTAGTGCACCATGAACAACACAGACAAAAATGTTGAATGTGTAATGAAAAAGGGTTCTTGCACCAACCCCTTAATCTCAGGCTTTCTGCTGGTACCAGAGAAGTAGACAGAGAAAACGAGAGAGTTAAAGAGGAAAATAAGCCATTTCTTTGTATGAAGAATGTGAGGCATAGCTAGAGTGCAATCCCTATATCCAAACTAAATAGCGCTAAACACAGCATTTTCTTTTGTTTTCAATGGTTTCATTGAGCACTATTTTGCACAAAGTAGCCAACAGTTACAAAGGGAACCCAGGTGTAGATATGTGGGGGCGGACTGGGTTTGGGAGGTTTGTCAATGCCTATACTAATGATTAATGCACAAATAACTTATTACTAGAAATTTATAGATTTATTACATAACATTTCTTGAAATTTACAAATTGAGCAGTAAAATATGTCAACAAACTTCGTTAATAATTTATAATTCTTTTGATTTTTGAAATATAAACTTTTGATTCAACAAGTCATTTTTTGACCTTCTTGTTTTACTTGTRCGGACACACTAACCAGGACCAAGCTTGTAAAAAGTTAACCAGTCACAACATAAAGTTCTACTCAAACCAATCAGGTGCAGGCAACAAAGCCTAGATATCTGAGAAAAGAATTAGATGTTATCAACAGCTGTGGGAATGACAGATTGTGATTGGCGAGGGTCAATATGATACTGATTTTGCTATCTCCTGATTGGCTAAAGTCTTTTATATCTTAAATTTTGTTCAAATAGTCCTGGTTAGTGTGTCTGCACAGTAATTTTCTATTATTATTTGATGTCATCTTTAAGAACTTTTTCTTAAATCACCATTTCAATAACATATTTTTTTTATCTTAAATTTTGTTCAAGTAGTCCTGGTTCACAATGGTTGGTTGCTATGGCTTTTCCTCCCGCAAGGGTCTTAAATTCAAATTTTGGCTTACAGAAGAGTAGGTTATATTCCAAATAAAGCAATACATCGAAACATGTTATTTAGAAAAAAAATTTTCTAAAATTTTACAATAATAATGGTATTTTTGACTTTTCTTGAAATTATGACGTCATAAGTAACACCTATTTTTAGTAACAACGTTAAAAATTTGTAAACCATTGTTAAAGTGTTATAGATAATTTTGGTACACAAAGAGCATATTTACAGTGAAAACCCCATCTCATTCGGATACAACGGTGTAAAGTTACAGCTTATTAAAGAAATTCAAATTTCCCGCCAAATGACCATATATGGTCAAACTTTAGGGGTATTTAAACAGCCAGACAATGAATGTATATTGGCACAGGAGCAGCGACAAGGTTGTATAAAATCAAATTTGTAGTTTTTTTGACTTTGGATGTATAGGGCTATGATGCCTCTTTCATCACGCAATACGTCATTAATGGGAAATTTGAATTTCTTTCATTAGCTGTAATTTCACACCATTGTATCCGAATGAGATCAAGTTTTCACCAGAAATCATAGAATTCTATGCAGAAAACTATTTTACATTTTTTACCATTCCTTTTGTGAATTTTTATTCTTATGCCAAATTTGGACATGAWTTATGAYGTCACAATAGCAGTCACATKGGATGAARCCRACGTTAATTAGTAGGTAATTTATCAACCTACTTCCCTGCCWAGTTTTGTYGCATTTGATATATTGTACTTCTGTCTATGGCYTAAAAMTCTCAATTTTGAGGRCAGAGGGAGAAAAAGCCCTAGCAACCGACCATYRTGGTCAGTGTGTCTGAACAGTAATYTTCTATTAATTTGATGTCATTTTTAAAAWYTTTTTCTTAAATCATCATTTCAATAACWTATCTTTTTTATGCAATAACTCAATCAAATCCTCTAATATCAAAACTCTAAACGATGAACATGCAATGATTGCAAATAATGCAATGTTAATTTTTTAAGCTTCAAAAACCTTTACAGATCTTTCGTATATTTGTTTAAGTCAAATACTCTTTGTTTGTCATGCCAGACAAGTTTGTCACTTTTTCTCCAAAAGATGCATTCCTAAACATCTAATGTCTAGTAATCCAATGATTTTGAATTACCTTCCTTTAATACGCTCTTGATATTAAACTCCATAATCTTTATAACTTGTCATTGCTAGAAAAAAAATAGAAAACTAATTAGGAATTTTTAAAAGTATTTAAGTTTCACCCTTTAAATCCTTTTGTCAAAAAGTTGGATTTTGTCCATCATAAAAGGGTTACGTTTTGTTCTTTTGTGAAAGCTGGCCCTTGGTCCAATGGAGGTGCTGGGAACAGCAGATGAACTACTAGACTAAAATCTGCTCTTTTCCACAAACAGAAGTTCCCTCTGCCACTCTTTGTCAAGTTGTACCCTGTAGTGATTTGCTTTAAACAGCACTGCTGATCAGCCTTGCAAAAATATAGCGAAATTTCATAACAAAAGCTTAATCTTTTGAGCACATTTGCTGTTTCAGTTTTACAGAAAGACCATGACCGCTGGTAGACATGACAGAAGACATGTTCAATGGTATTGTTTCTAAGCCTTGCATAAATCAATATTATGAAACATCAACTTCCTTCCCCCTTTCCAAGCTATGGAGCATTTGACTTAGGCCCCGTCCACACGTATTAGAAAATTTTTGTATCCCCAATTTTTTTTGCGGATACGGGTTGCRTCCACACGTGTCCGGAAATTTTTGTATCCGTATCTGCGAATTTTCCGATAACGGATACGTGTGGACGGTAAAAACGATTCAAATACGCTGTGTGTGGAYGCRAACATTTTCGTTAATTTGCGGATACAAGAATCTCCGGATACGTGTGGTCGGGGCCTTAAGTAGTGCATATACTTTATCTTGAGTGGACCAATTTCTTTAGATCACTTTTAAGTTTGTAAAAAAATAATAACAATTCAGCTCCTGGGAGAAAAAAAATGTTTCACTTCACAGCAGTTTTACATGGTGTACTAGTTTAGCATTAAAACTTTGCCATTTTTGTAGYCATTGGTCAAAAGTACAATATTTAGTAGCTCTTAGAGTTGATTGGCCATCTGTGGCAATAAAAGACCAAATCCACAACCACAACCATGTAATTTTGCAAAATCTCAGTAAATAGATAATTAGAGTAATTACAGATTCATTTAAAACAGTTATTTTTGTCATACGTGTGAAATAATACTGCAAATTTTTGGTTGCACTCTAATCRTACCATATGTTACAGTGCAACTACTATGACTGGAGCCACAAAGAAAGCAAGAACTGATCAAATTGTAGAATGAAAACAATACATTCCGACTTTGGGTAGTGGATCCAATCAGAAACCRACAGAAAAAAAATAGCCTTTCAACATATGTATTTATTCCCACGAGAAAATAACGATGGTTTTTACAAGTATCAATGGGAAGCCATTTCAATGTAACAGCATGTCACACCATGCACATGCTGTAAGTCAGTACCATACACTTCCCACTCATACAAAAACTGCGCTATAGTACTAATGAATACCTGATAATTTGTAGAAATGGACTACAGAGCTTGAAATAATCCAGATGTAGTTGGGTGTGGGTCATGAATTGCATGGGGTTTTTTTTCCAGGAGGTTTGCATAATACAACAAGCCAGTAACTATGGAATAACCAATGATCATAAATAAGACCTTCAGAAGTCTGTTCCCTTGTCTTGATAGCTCTTGCTGTAAGATTTCAAAGAAAGTCACAAATATGAATGTACCATTTGCAATTCCTTGAAGAATCCCAGATGCCAGATTGCTTCCAAAATGCGTAGATGAATCAAGTACAGCTATTCCAATACCAATACCTATAGGTCCCATCAGAGAAAATATCAAAGCAGCCTTTAGAATTGTCCTAATCCCCATTTGATGTTGCACCATGCTTACTCCCAGACTAAATGCAATTATAGATTTGTGAATGCAAACCGCTGTGGCAATCTGAGCAAGYCGGTCTAATTCCACAATCAATCCTAGAGCAAGTCCTTCAAAAACTGAATGTAAGGATAGAGCAAATACAAGGATGTACGTCCTAATCGAGCCTTCTGTTTCATGTTTCTGCGTGACGTTACCACGTAGGATTCCTCCATTTCTCGTCGCAAATGATTCGCTGCTTTCTAYCACAGTTCCTTCAGGATGGACATGTCCTCGATGTATTGCTGAATTCAACAATGGTTTTGTATCATCGCTGTCTCCATGGCCGTGTCCATGAAACAATGAACTATCATGGAAAGTGTGAATTATTTGCTCTAACACAAGGACGATAAAAAAACCAACGCACGTCGTAAACTCAGCCACTGGAAAAACTGTCGACGTGTCCCCCTCTTGAAAAACCGCCAAAAACTTTTCTCGTATCATTGGTAATAAATCTAGGAGGCTCGTAGCAAGGAATACCCCACCAGCAAAGCAGTTACAGTAGGATAAAATACGTCTTCGGCGATCATGTCTCCCAGGCCCTCCATTATTACCAATCTTGWATGGAAGGACACCAGCCACAAAAGTTAGAAGAAAAATACCGAAAATAACGATTATTTTGATGGTTAAGTGGTTCATCTTTCTCGAATGAATACACTAAGATTTCACTTTTGAGACGTGGATCCTTTGTAAATTGTTAGTAATCCCTTGTGATAACTCTTTTACGTAATTTGTGTAGTGTAATAATAGTGCCCGGGTCTCGTGAGCTAGATAGCGTTAAAGGAGCCACATGATCGAAGTTATGACTACGTCTCGATGTGATGTGTGACGTAATTCACCGACACAGACAGACAGAYAGTCATGGACCAGGTCATGTTCATAGACAGATAGTAACAAGTAAGATATTGGTAGTAACTCTTTTATGGTCGCTTACGGGAGATGGTCGCTTAYGAGAGTGGTCGTTCAAAGAGAGTTGACTTTAGTCTCAGTATGATGTCTGACAAAGAACCGACCATCACAGGTCAGACAGCCAGCCAGACAGTCATGGACAAGAGAAAGACGGCTAGAAAGGACCATTCACTTTCTRGGAGGAAAAGTGAATAGTTTGATAGTGGCTCATCTCACAGTCACTTAACAATAATTTATTATGAATTTATAAAATTAATATTGTATACATTGGGATTTCAGTTTCAAGAATTGAATCAATGCCGTCCATCATTTATCAGAGGGAGTAGATGGGGGAAGAGAGGTATAGTTGAGAAAAGGAGGGGGCTTCGAAATKTGTGAACTGACTGAGTAGGGTTCAGAGTCTGATGTGTGAGAGCCAAAATGTTGAATTACACAGGGGGTCAGTCCAAAAAAAGGTCAATCGGAGTCATATACAAGAGAGTTAAAATGATTGAATTACTGACAGAGGGTCCTAAAAAGATCAATTCTAATTTTTGTTTCCTTTCTGGTATCCCTTCCTAAGGATTTGGCATGACAACTACTGTTAAGGGGGGGTTCTCATTCCTTAGCACATGGGGGGGGGGGGGCTGGCAAAATCACATGGAAAGCTTTACAAGCATAAACCAATTACTATTATTATTGCGGTTATTATTATTATAACCCCCATCCATGGAGAGACATCAATTTAATGCATGACCCTGCCCCTTCTATCATTCTCAATATTCAAGGAGGACCTCAATATTTTGATAACCCCCTCCCCCTTAACCACTTACTCAAAATAATATAACCCCTCTACAATATTGCTAACCACCCGTCCATATGTGCTAATAAGCTAATTATTCCCATTATGGGTTCCCTGTGTTGTGATGATTTGGGATGTGGAAGAAGGGAGATTGAGGCAACAGGAAGAGATATTTGAGGAGAATCAAGAATCTTTCCATAGACAATGAATTAAGGAAACAATTTCAAATCTTTTAAATATAATTCTATTTATTCCTTTTTTTAACATATTGTACAACCCATAAATTACAAAATATATACAAATGTTATCTAACTGAAATCAATATGATTATGCCCTGAATTTAGTACATGTATATACATGCATAAGGATCTTTGACCCCAAATCCCCCACATGACCAATGCTCCACCTAGGAGTAATTAAGAGCTTCTGTCATCGAACGACCCACACACATATACATATTATATGGACTATGGACAAGGCACACTTTATACTTTWACTTTGTACTGTAGTCATGCCTGCCTGTTTTCTGAATGAAACAGTTATCTGAATTTAGAAGTCATTTCTTTCCCTTCAAAATAAAAGACTAAGTTGGAAACTGTCTGAATCAAAATAGAATGTAGAAAAAGGCATCTGCAAGCAGGATACGAAAAATAAACATTTTAAGATGTACTAAAAAGCTTTATTTAAATGCTTAAAAAATAGTACTGGTAGTACTGGTAGTACTGGTCTACTAAAAGTAGACCTAAAAATCCATACCATTCAAAACTTATATAGAGTAAAATAATGGATATGACTTCCCATTTGGAAAGTCTGTCAGTCACTTCTAATCCTTGAAGAAGTATTGGAAATTAGGTCCTTGCTTTCTTAGTTCAAAAAGTAAATGTTCTGTAAGAATGTGAAAAAACAAAGTACTTGAAAATACCTCCAACTGTAATGACTAAACATAACTTGGATGAAGAAAATTAGGCAGTTCCTTTGCAGTGACAACAGATTCATGCCCTATATACTATATAACTTGGCCTTTGGCCATACATATTTTTCTTTGTTTATATTAATAGCTTCTTGGAAGCTAGGGAACATTGTTCTTCTAGGTCTAGATTTCCTAGAAACACTGGTGACAGACAGGACTTTGAGCCTGTGAAATATCATGTTTCTCTGTTTACTCTCTTGGCTTGCTTGTATTGAATTATCCAGCTGTCTATTTGGTACAGACAAGTTTTGGTCTACCGGCACARGCTAATGTTGAGTATGCCTTGGGCATGATAAAATTATCTGTCTTTTTTTGGCTTAGTTTCTGGTCTAGCCCTTGACGTACAACACAGCAGCTAAYGTTCCAAGACCAAGTGTCGTACACAGCAAGCTGTTCCACCAAAATTTTTCATTCTCTTCTTGCACATCTTTGAATTGTTCATTAAAAGCATCCTGTAGAGTTAAAAAAAGGGAAAAATGATCAGAATACGATTGACAATTTTTAGAGCATAACAAACATATTCACCAAAACTTCATGTGTTTTTTTTTTTTTTTGAATGTTATTTCGTATTTCATATTTAAGTTAACTTATAAAAACTAAACTCTCACTAAATAAACCGATATCAACAAACTAGGAAACATATTGACAATTACAAAGCTCAACTTTTATTTGCCTCTGCAAGCCATTTGACATAATCACGTCTTATAACTGCTGTTGCTCAATCTCTCTGACTATTAATGATAGAATATGTAAACACCCAAATTAACGATACTTTCAAGAAAATTCATAGTTTAGATGGAAAATAAAGGGAAAAAAACAAGAAAAATATGGATTTTTATGCATGATTTCATTGATGTCAACAAAATTTCTGAAATTTTTCTTGGAATAGCCTGTTTACAATATAATCTTTCTTAGTTTTTTGAAATAAAAAAAACTCAGGATTCATCTAAAAATTTCTAGATAAAGTATATTGTGAAATTTGTGAAGGCAAAATTAGATTAAAAAGTGAAAATTTTAATTTTTCTTGATCATTTCGATTTATTAACACAGAATTGGAATTTTTGGAATGTATTCGCTCTAGTGATTYATGTGGGAAATTCTGGATCTGAAGTAAGCCATTTAGAAGTAATTGTCTCTTGCTCCGCGTGATAGACAACACGAATTCTATATACAAATCGAAGGATCTTTTTTTTGGATTTTGGAACTTTGCCGAACACCCAGGAAGTGTCGAAATGTTCAGAATGCCGTAGTTTCCATTTAAGGTCACAAGTAAAAGTTCTGATGTATTTTGCTGTTATCGCTACTAGTATTCTGCTTACGACGAGTTGAAGGCTTGCTGCTGAAATGACTGTTTCATTTATTCAGTAAAAACCAAAAACATTCACCARGAAAATCATTCTTTTGGCATTTCTAAAACATTTCCGATATCTGAAAAACACTTTTTTGAAATGATTTTCCTGTTGTCAGGGACATTCCGGGGTAAATACGGCCACCCGCGCAAACGTATTAAATTATTCAAAACCACACGACAATGAATGGAGCCAGTCTTGGAATCTTCCTGAGATTACGAAATACACTTCTTCCTGACTTAAAAATCCCAAAAATTTGCTAAAAAYGCCTTAGTTGCTACAACAGACTGCAAAAGTTTGAGCAAACATGACCTGCATTGAACTCGTAAAGTCTGAATAAAGTTTATATTTTTTATTCACGAGAATTTCAAGGAAACACTAACGGCATCAACAGGAAGTCTTTGAGCAAAATGAAAGCTAACTTACCCATCCACCAGCTTTTCGTATCCATTCAGATTTCCCAGCTACATAATTTCCAAGCCAAATGGCTATTTCATCACTGATTTTAACGTCATGTTCTTCGAAATAAACTGCAACCCTTCCAGCGAAAGTATAAAGTGCTACAATTCTACCCCAGTTGATGTCTTTGCCCAACATCTCATCGGCGACTTCAACGAAGGTCTGAGAAACAGTTCTTTCGTTCAGATTCAAACGATCGCACATGTTTTTGAATATGGGTTCATGTTTTTTCTCAATTTCTTTGCTTAACTTGCGGAGTAAAGTCGCAGTCTTAGTATTAAGTCGTGTTCCTTTCCCGAGCTTGAAATTAATGAAGTCCTTCGCTAATTCATGGGCTATCTTTTCCTCTGTCGTCTTCATTTTTCTTGCAGAAGGATTGCCTACTTTGTCATAGCTCGATATTRGTGACATTTTTATATCTTCTTCTATGGTTAAACTCAAGTTTTTCTTGTATTTGTTCCTCTCCTTTATACTTGTTATCTCAATCAAGTTTATCACGCTTGTAAGCAATACAATTTTTATATAACCACCCTCTTCACCTGATTGGCTGATATTTTAGGATATTACGTATAGCCATGGCAACCATATCATCCCCTCATTATGATGGATAAGAGAGCACGTACGCTACTGAGACCTTGCTCGAATCTTCACATGTATCCTGAACTCGGGGCTAAATTTCGATATTTTGGGGGRAAATGAAATATCTATAATAAATAATCAATAATGCAAAATTATTTTCTTCATGTCAAAGTTATTTTAGGTTTAGTTTTGACCGTGTGTTCCCTTGCGTTCACATCTTTCAGTTTCGAAAAGGCGCTACCGTAGCTCTGGCCGAAGTTCCTAGGGGAGATACCTACTGTCGGTAGTTGTATTTTGACAAATWAATTCACCTAAAATTCTTAGTTTTTTTGAATGAAACAAACACCTCAAACTGAAAGCTTAAAAATCAAAAACAGTTGTTGCTTTTTCTAAAATGGTATGGAATAGATTTCGTGAGTATTTAGGACTTTGCTTTGAATGTTGTCATTTGAATTTGTACCCTGATAGCAGAGGTTTTATAAGGGGAGCGGCACGCTAGTCTGGAAGTGTTTTTCTTCCCCGACCTATTAACCCAGAACCAGGGGCAGAAAAAGTCCTTTGCAAGTAGGGTACAAAATTTATACATCCCCACTTCGGTTGCGATTTCTCTCCCTTTATTAAAACATTTGATCATCTTTTCTTTTGACATTCMAGCTTTTAGACGCTTAAAAGATCAATATTCAAAGTCTGAAACCAGGGTCTGAGACGCTGCTGTGACGTGCGTGACCTTACGTAAGTGTGACGTTGACTGCGCACGCATATTATTTTCACCAAACAGCCAATCTCGTATACTCAGAGCCTGCAAAACAGCTGGCTGGAGTCCATCATTAATGTTAAAGTTCTAAAAATAATCACATTTTGGATACAAAATATTAAGAGTCACGTATTGTTCACGTGAAAAGTACATTACTGGTTTTAGTTATTTCCCAAGTTTTCTAGTAATTTTCTCAAACTTTCACACATTTAACTACCCTGCGAACAGAGTCTCCTTTTATCTCCTCTAGAACAGAGCAAGTCTCCTTTTACCTCCTCTACAAGTCTGTTCRCAGGGTAACATTTTGCTTACTAAACAATGGATCGAGATGCACTGTAAATAGGAGTAAGCTCCTTTTCAAGCGAAAGATATTTCGCCCATTTTTAGAATTCATTCAATTCAATGCGATCACTCAGGAACGGTTCTGACGAGACATTTTCTCTTACGGATTCGTCTACGAAGTCTCACCCTTACTAACTTATACAAGCGAAAGAAAAACTAAAACTATAGATGAAATTGAGTTTGGAAAAAAATGAAACTCAAAGGATAGAATTTATTTTTACCAGAATACTGAAATAACTTTGAAATCTTACATTTAGAAATATGATATTGTAATTCGATAATATGAAAGATATTTGTTTCGCTAGCACTGCCATCGAATTAACGATGAACTTCCCGTAAATTGCCAAAAAAGGAAATGTCCTTGTCGCCAATTATATCGTCCAAAATACTTAGGATAACTCACGAATGTTGAACTGTCCAGCCTATAATGTTTGGGGGTGTTTGGTTTGCGTTTCCAGGGGAAGAACATGAATTATATATGTACTTGAAGGGGATATTTCGGAAACAGAACAGACAGGTGCGTCAAACCGGCCTTCGTTGCGTCATCGGACGATAATCGGGAAGATATCACTGCTACGAGTACCTCACGAATCCGCCCGAGCGCTTATATTTCGTGTTACAAAAAGTTTTCGAGACAGATAAGCAAGATCGGTTACACGCAAATTGCCAAATGTGGTGTACCAAATAAATCATGCGCTTTATTGTTAGAGTGCCAACATTGTAGAACGAACGGAAACAACGACATCGCCATTGATGGCCATTATCTGAAAACATGTTTGTGGGGGTACCCTTAGTTATATACGGGCTATGACGCACGATCTAATTGGTCAATCGTCCAAAAAATTATTAAAACCCTTGAATTTTAATTATTCTCTGAATTTTAATTATTTTCTGTTTTGAACCAATTACGCAAGCTCTTTCTTTAGTCTCCCCAGAATGTAATAACAAAACCAAAAAATCCCTCTTGCTTCTCTTCTATTCCTGACAGTTTTCCTGAAACAAGTATTGTATATTTATATATTTATTCTTTCTTCCTTATTTACACTAACACCGTTCACCGAACACCGGAAATGATTAAAAAGTTCTCGGAATTGGGAAAATTAAACCATCTAGTTTCGATGACGAGAGAGACAGAACACCCTAACCGTCCTATTTAAGAGCTTTAGTTTGGTTAATTGCCATTGATACGAGTGTAGTAATTAAGAGGAACTGAATCATGTGCTCCAAAGCATCAATGGCTTTACGTTAACTTGGCAAATAGTACTGAATCAGTGTCTTTCGCGCGATCARCCTCGCGCCCTAGAGATATTTTCAAAGAATTTTCTTCAGTCTGGCCCATGCAATATATCACATATTGCTTTCGTTTCTAATTGATCCAAAACGAAGCCTAAAAGGGAAAATGCTCAAGGTGAAACCCTCGAAAGAAAACGAATGATGGTCCGGCAGGCTATCAATACTCAAACTTTCACTTGCATCGCATCTTTCTATAACTACTACAAGACTGAGTAGAAATGAAAAACTGTAGCGGAGTGCACTCACTAAACCCGTGAAATATATTTAGTACTAATTAGTAGTAATTCATACAGAATCCTTTGTTTCCTTATTGTTTGATTATCACTATTTAGTGCTAAAAATTAATATTCAGTGTTTCACGGGTTTAGCGCGAGCACTCTATCTGCTACGTATATATAGGTTATTTTTATTGCCACCAAGTTTTCGGCCATCTTCTTCCTAACATGCAATGTAACGACCTATATTTGCTGTAGAATTTATTTAAAGCATTGTTGAAAAGCGAAATATAATATATTTTGGTCTTTTGGCGGACGCGATATGAGTGGTTTTTTTTCACTTGCTTTTTTTTTTTTTTTTTTTTTTTTTTTTTTTTTTTTTTTTTGTTTAATTAATGCAAGCGCGAATCGAAAGTGGAAGTTTGCTATGGTAATCAATGAGGTATTGGCCGTCGGGACAGAATATTCACCAAAAATTTGAATCAAGCATAGCACAGCCAGTTACCATAGTATTTAATCAACACAAAAAAACAAACAACTATGATGAGATAACGAAAGATGAAGGGAAGGGAGCAAGAGCACCAAAATTTAATTATTTAATTATGCGGGATTCCTGTGGATTTGGCGGGAAAATGGTCGCTACTCCTCTGGTGTTTAGAGCAATTTTCGTATGACTGTGAAAAGCTCAGTGCCGCGTAAGCGTCGTAAGCGTGCCGTGCCGTGACCGGCTTTCCGAATTTTAATTGGCTGATTTTTTTCATGCGCAATATGATTGGTCTAAAAGTGCCGTGATCTTGGCGTGACCGTGTCCACGCCGTGTTTATGCCGTGTGCCCAATAATTGATTGGATGGAAAGTAAATTCTCGTGCAATGTGACTTGTCTGGCGTATCCCTTGCTGTGTCATGACCGAGTTCGTGCCGTGAGCTTTTCACAGTCATACGAAAACTGCACTACTTACAGCTCGTACACGGTGCGACTGTGGTAACATTGAGATGGCTTCCCGTTGTCCTTTAGTACATAATATGTACTTATTGACTGAGTGGGAGGGCCGTACGGGAAAATATTTGGCTCGAGGTGATGCCGTACGGACCGAGCGCAGCGAGGCCCGTACAAATGACCGAGAGCCAAATATTTTCCCGTACGGCCCGACCTAACTTAGTCAATAAACATTTTATCATATGACCCTCACGAAAATAAAAATAATTAAAAAAAAGAAAGCGCGCGGATTCGAGCAGGGCCGGACGGGTTTTTCCGGCCCGCTTACGTCAACCCGTCCGGCCCCCAATCACGTGACTTTTTCCAATAGTTTTATTAGAGCGCGCGAGCAGGGCCGTACGTGTCATATGATAAATACGGATAGGAGATAGAGTCGAGGCTTAATTTCAGAACAGGATATCGATAAAGTTTGGAATAAGATTACGATTTTTGCATACAACTAACTGTCTTCGTTCATAAAATAAGCACAATCTTCCTTAGTTTCATTTGTGAATTTTTTATTTATATTTTTGATATTGTTTTATTATTACTGATGCTTTTAAATAATTTCTTAGCTATTTTATGTAAAAAGGTGTATATTTCCATTGTACGATCAGGAAAATACTGCATATACAGTAAAAGCGGAGCACTAACTCTGTACTACCGCTGTGCTGCTTGTCCGAAAGCGCATTATACGGTTAGTTTAATTTGATTAATTTTGTTTAAAAATTCAAATATCCAAGAATGCAAGAATGCAAGGCGTGCTCCTATCTTTTCAATGCTTAAAAAGATACAAGAATTATAAAAATAATCGAAAAAAAAGGAATATTATCAAATGAATTGTCAACAATTCTCAATATGTTCAGTCTGAATATCTTTAATATAAATATATCTATAGTTCAAATTTTAAAAACTTTCAATTTGTATACAGACTGAGATGTATATCATAATATTTTGTCTCGAAGAAACTGAATGATGCCCATGCGACCTGGAAAGATAACTATTGGTCCACGAGTTGACGGTCCAAGTGTATGACCACGTGGGTTATTGATATTGATCGCCTCCTTGGTAGCCATGATTGAGGAAGGGACTGGGGCAGAGTGAAAATACCAATAACTAAGAAATAATCCACATCGCATAAACGATAATACAAATATTATTACTATTACCGAGTTTGAGATGATGTTTGGATAAATATCTTCGGAGGAGAGTAGCTAGCTAGCTTTTAAAAGCCGCAATGATAAGAGAGAATGTACTTGGGGTTTGATGACAGCGTCCCCAAAAACCATACATTCTCTCTTATATTTTTAGGGTTTATTTAAAGCCTGCTAATCAGTCAGTATTCGTCCAAACATTCACTCGATAAGCTGAATAACTTAGTGTGGCTCTTTCATGTGATGGGGTTTGTTTTTTATTTAGATTGATATTTGTACACTCGTCCTCAATCCTTTCTTCAAATCCGGAAAGGCTTGGTTGTTCAATCCTAAAACTGAATCAAGTGCATAACCAGGTGACCTAAGTTTTACGTCTTGTTATAGTCCAGTTGTCGCTGGACCAATGAACACGTGACCTCTTAATGGTTGCCACCTCTTAATGGTTGCTCTAGCAACATTACCTCAGACATTCACTTTCTCATAAGTTCTCTGTCCTAGTAATCCACTGATCCAGTGATTGGCCACTAGACCTGGTGGTCGCTTTCCATTGGTTTTTCTCTCCTAGAATCCAGTGATTGGCCACTTGACCTGATGGTTGCTTCCCATTGG